GGTTTTACTAAATATTACTTTTACCAATGTAATTGTGAGATTTTCCTGATCAAAATGAGACCAAACACGGCATAATTTGAACAACATTTGTTTATGTAGTAATATTGTTTGTTTTTTCGAGTATATAGAGGTGCGATTTTATATGGAACCAAAAGACTATTACTCGTTGGACTTTTCTAAAAATTTAATTTTAAATAGCCTCTCTCGTTCGCTTCTGTCCTTTCCTACGTTTAGCGGTCGACGCGAGCCAAATGTAAACAAAGAATCGACACCTTGACTCGATAACTGCAACGCTTGGGTCCCGATTTTGTTGCAGTTATCCAATCTTTACTGTAGTAAATTGTACTAAAGCGAATAATTGAAAACAGTAATTTCTAAATTCATTGGATAAAGAGATGGTAAGTAACTGTTGATTGGAAGTCAATTTTCATTAGTAAATCTCGATGATATTCCCACAATTGCATATAGCGACTGAGATCATCTAATTGTACATTTTGGCGTGGTACAGCTCCCAGGCTCATACAGGCAATTGAAGTATCGCTCGGCCCACGTAAAGTGTCCCGCCGTATCTTCTAATTGTACCTGTGTGCCCTTGTGAGAGGTAGTCTCGCTGGTGTGGAATTGGGTGATTTCTGTCATATTTGATCGGAGTACAGCTCACAGACTTGTTTGAGCAACCAGAGTATCGCCCAGCTCACGAAAGTGCCCTGCCGCTATTCTTTGGTTGTTCTCAAATGCCTTTGTGAAGAGGTGGACACGACCGTGTGGCATTGCTTTCTCACTGTTTGAAGGGGAATTTACTCAAATAGAGTTCATATTCGGATTGGGTAACCGAAGTATCGCCCAGGCTACATATTGTGCCTGCCGTCATCTTCTGGTTGTTCTCAATAAGTTTATGAACTTCATAGTACAGGCACCGTTTGACTATTTCCGAGTTGCTCGACAAGGTCAATCTGAGTGTTATTGTACTATTCGCGTCGCGAATCATACGATCGGATTAGTACTGTTAGAATCAGGTGTCCGGCATCGGAGCAAATCTTGAGCCTCAACACGTTCCTCTTGACAAACTCTTAGGTGTCTCAACCTGGTCTTGACTTCGTGCGTGTCTCCACCGGAACATCTCCTCCGATTTCTCGTTCGAAGCCGAGTGTAAAAAGTGCTGCGACGGTCCTCAATCGTACTTTTCACCGAGACATTGACTCCAACAACCAACATATACTAGCGATCTGTATTTCTCTTAAAGCATTTAATTTTTTTTCACGCATTGTTGCGCGTAAACACATAGAAACTCATTAAATTGAATCAGAAACCCATATGTATCTGTCAAAATAATTTTCTAGGAGAAAATTCCTTAATGAATAAAGCGTACAACGTTGTCTCATTGAATACATAATTATATTATATTGCGCGTGCGATTCTATATTGTGATAAATAGGTTAATATTCATTACTAGAAATTCATGTGATTGTGCTCATTTTACAGGATATAATGCGTAATTTTTGTTATTGAAAAAATTGTTTCCAACTTTCTTTAACGACCAATCAGACCACTCCGCTGTCCAGTACCTGGAGGCCCGAATCCCTCCAATTAAATCCTTAGTAGAGATCTAAATATTAAGGTTATTTTCACTTATATCTAGACGCCCAGCCTGGGCATAAACCAGACAGAATTCATCGGAAATATAACGATAAAATTCGCAGAAGTAACGCCCGACTCCGGGCGTATCTAAATAAACAAACTCACGTTTACAATGTTTCGAAAATTACTTATTTTTAACCGACTTCGAAAAAGGAGGAGGTTACTGAATTCGATCACTTTGAAATACTTTTATTTCAATGGTGGATAGAATAACGTCTTTTACAGTACTAACTCCGGGCGGGAAGATTTGGGATCATATATGAGATTTAATGATATATTTTGAGATAGGCCTCCTCCGAGTGCAGTTCGAAAGGCCGTTTTCTCCTCCTGTAAGTCATTACTAATAACTCTCAGGGCAAGTTATGCTGGGTTGTTTGGTCCAGTTCGTCACATATGCAAGGGTGACACACGTGTCCGGGTCATCGTATCCTGGACTTTGATCGAGTTCATAGGGGTCTTAAGGTGTTAATAGTATAAATCTATGTCTATCATCGAGTTAAGGATACTGATCGGTAACCGATGGCTAAGAACCACGACGAGTCCTAAGAGCCACGGATGTTATTATTAGAGATCGATGTCTTTTTTTTTTTAAAATCACCGAAGACGTCGTGCCTCGTGACCGATGACCCGACGACATGGTGCTGCGAAGTGTATGCAAAGAGATAAGGTTGTTCTAGAAGGATTTAGCTACGGAGTGGAGAGGATATTGCATCCTTTGGTGAGAGGACCATGAGAGACAGCAAGGTACTTTGATCGAGATCACTACCTTACAAAACATTTCAAATAGTAATGTAATGCTCCTAAGGTATTGCACAATAGTACCGTCTAATACTCGAGAGACCACCCAATAGATGAATTGGGAAAAAATGAAGTCCAAGCTGATTTTTGGAAAACTATTTATTTGTCTTAGTGTGTGGTGTCATGTATTGATGTGTAGTTGTGTGTGGGTGGAGTTTTTACTACAATCTGTTTGTGTCGTTTGAACTAACTAACTTGAACCAACTAATCTGGTTGATTATTTTTTCTGAACTGCCGAACTGAAAAATATTCTTTTCCTTCTAACCTTCCCTTCCAGTGCACCCTCAGCGCGCTTCCCTGTGAAAGGGGAAGACGAAAGCCAGGGTGAGTGAAAGTCGGACACAAGGCGGAACTAAGGGTCCTAAGAGAAACTGTTTTTATAACTGTAATATCTAACATATATGAACGTAATGATATCAAATAAAATAATTTTTAGAAAAAAAATACACCGACTTCGAAATGCACTAAAAGTATAAAATAATTTCTATTTCCTAATGAAGTAATTTCTATTTCATTCAATCATACAATTACGTAACAGATATGAATGAAACCTATTTACTCGTTAGGTATTATATTAAATACATTTCAACCTTTTTGGAGGCGGCGCAAAATTAAAAGATTATTTTGAATATGTTATTTAATTTTGCGCCGCCTCCGAAAAGGTTGAAATGTATTTAATATAATACCTAACGAGTAAATAGGTTTCATTCATATCTGTTACGTAATTGTATGATTGAATGAAATAGAAATTACTTCATTAGGAAATAGAAATTATTTTATACTTTTAGTGCATTTCGAAGTCGGTGTATTTTTTTTCTAAAAATTATTTTTGTAAGTTTAAAATCCTTCAGTGATATTTGGGACACCTACCTTGTAAGTGTATTATTTTATCGTGAAATATAATATTTATTGTCTTTATACCTTTTTCAAACCTACCAACTATTTTCGCAATATTATGTTATATTTATTATTCACAGTTATAAATAGTTAAAACAAGTATTTTTAATTAGGTATATCAACAAATGTTTTAAAATATAGGTGACACATTACTAATATGAAAATTTAAGCTTTACGCGTGTGTGAATGACAGTAAAATTATTAATTGAATGTTACAATTTTTTAAAAAAGTGGGTTATATTTTATCAAGCCCTATTAATGCTGAGTTTACACGTTCAAACAATTCGCTCAAACTGACTCGGGTAATCAATTTTGTATGAATCGTTAGTTACGTGTAAATAAAAATTTGAAAGTCGCTTAATTAAAAAAAAATTGCCTTCAATAAAACCTGTATCGTTAAGTAATTTGCACGAAATTAGTGAAAAACACGTAAAGGGATGATTAAATATAACGCATTCGTATTTTGACATTTTAACGCGCTATAATAAAATCTGCGTTTTATTAATTTTTTAATATTAAAGTATAATTATGTAGAAGAATTTACTTTCAAGTTTTAAGGACAGTCGTTTCTCACACTTATGTAATAATTGGTTCTAGAACAAGTGACATAAATTGAAAATGACAGCAAATCGGGGTAACCGACACTCAAGCTTCCTTCCACTAAAGTCGAATATAGGAGAACGAGGCTTAAAAACCATTGTATTTCCAAATTTTTCATTATTTTTAAATTGTTCAAGAAATTTGTAAATGTGTATATTTGTGAATTTGTGAATTTGTGAATTTGTGAATTTGTGAATTTGTGAATTTGTGAATTTGTGAATTTGTGAATTTGTGAATTTGTAAATTTGTTAATTTGTGAATTTGTAAATTTATAAATTTGTAAATTTGTAAATTTGTAAATTTTTAAATGTGTAAATGTGTAAATGTGTAAATTTGTAAATTTTTAAATATGTAAATGTGTAAATTTATAAATGTGTAAATGTGTAAATTAATACGAAGCTTGTTTAATTTCTTAATTTCCAGATTACCGAATTTCTGAATTTCCAGATTTGAAAATTTGAAAGTTACAAAATTTGAAAACTTGCTCATCTGAAAATTAAAGATTTTAAAATTCTCAAAACTCTCGAAACTTGAACTCTCGAAATTTGAAGCAGTAATTTTGTATTGTAAGAGGAATTCTTTACAAAATCCTTGTAAGAGAGATTCCTTAGATAATAATGTTATACGTTTTGTTCTTTGGGTATCGAGAGTTTTAGTCCAAGGAAAAGGTATAGTTTCGAATTCTCGAAACTCGAAACTCTCTTGTGTTTTGAGGAGTTTCGCGGATTCGTCGTTCCGAGAAACCCATCCCTAATTAAACTGAACGAGAATAACTATAAAAGGTATTAGTGACTAACACTTAATGTAAGTGTTGCCATTCTGATATTTATATAACGTTGTTAACAACGCTATTAATTAAATTTCTTACAATGAAAATAAGTAGTTGTAAGTGTAGTAAAGTAAATTCTTTTTGTACATATTTACAATACCCTATAACCGTACATAAAACATAATCTGAATGAAATAATACAAGTTGAAACCGTTTCAAATACTAAGGAAAAAGGATAAACTGAAATGAAGCTGGATGTAAACGCAAATAAAGGTGTATCAAATTAAAAAAGACTCACGTTCTTCCTTGATCGGAAAACAGCTTGGTGTTTTGATCTTCCGTTCTAAAACAAAAGGAAAAGAACAAACCGATTAAATCTATTAAAATAAATCATATAAAAAAAAACGTAAAAATGAATATAAATGAAAGAGTATCAGGAAAAATGACTGAATTGAAAAAAAAGGATTTAAATAAACGAAAATAGAAAGCTCTTATAAAACTCTTCATAGTTTTTGCATGAGCAAGAGAACTGCAATTGTAAACTCGATTAACTCGGATTCTTTGTCAGCTTGTACGTGGTTTCGTTTTAAAAACACCGAGGCAATTTGACGTTTTTATCTTGCCAAGTATAGCAAGCTTTTTATGGGATACCGTGTCAGTCGTGTTTCAACTCGACAGCACTTTTCTCGCGGTTAGGATCATAAATAATTTACCTGCAAACGAGTATACTCGTTCACCTACCTGTGCAATATTCTCTTTAGTCACCCTCGCGAATTAAACTGTTCGCGCGTAAACACTGAAATTGCCATGTATATTTTATAAAGAAAAAAAAAACATGCACATACATACACGCACGCACACACAAGAGTTATGCCAAACATACAATTTCACGCTATAAATTTAATCGAACTTAGATCAGCATCATTTATAAATTCATGTACATGCAGAAAAAATGGATTCAGTGAAATCGTTCGTAATTCATATAATAAGTCAGATCTCTAATCGTTCTTTATTCTTTTTAAATGGTTCGCATACATTAAATGAGTATATTATTTTACTGGCTTGAAATGCAGTACGTCCGCTATTAATGTATTCGCTAGAATATTAAAGAAAAAGAATTAAAAATATAATAACGTTTTTAATGTTTGAATCAAATATGAAAATATTAACTCGCAAGTATTATGATAGGGTCAAATTTCTTTCTGCCGGAGTTAAACTTTCATTTCTTAAACTTGAAATTACAGAGAATATTTTATTCAGATTATTTGTAATTCTGAAATATTATGATAATCTTAATAAATGTGTAAAACTAAAAGTTGTAAGACACTACAAGTGGTAACTACATTAAAAGCAATATAAAATAGATAGTGTATATTAAAGTTGAGAACTATGACAGTTAACGGTTAAAATAATGTTTATAAACGTTTATCAGTATGTTGGCGGACATATTATGTGAGTAGTTATTTTGTTAATGAGATTGTAAGGGCGATTTCGTGGTTCCATTAGTTATTGGAACACTATACTTTTTTTTAATTGGCTGATATTTGGACTAGTTTGAAAAAAAGAGTAAATAAATTACAATTTAAAAAGATTTTACTCAGGATAAAATATTTTAAAATGAAGAATGAAATTTTACCTACAAGAATTTCAAATTCCACAATTTTTGAAATTCTTGATTTTTTTTCTATGTTGTGAGTTAACACTATTTTATGTGAAATGTTGCAAACAACCGACTTAGGTTAAAAAAGTGCAAGATTTTACTTAAAAAGAAACAAAAATAGTGAACCTACATTTTCTTCTTTTAATGAAAGTTAATATTTTTATTATATGGATCGAGCATTTATAACGCTTCTCTTAGGAAAATATTAGAGTTAAAGAGATATTATATATATTATATGTACAGAATTTGTTATTTCTTAAACCCTTTCCTGAAATATTTCATTTTTGTATTTAAAATATTTCATAAATTATAAATTCCATATTTTAATAGATTTTTATGTTGAATATTTCAGAGAAGTAATTGAATACAATTTAATTACTTCCTAAATTATAATTATAAAGCAATTTAATTATATCGAAATTTGCAAATGCAATAGAAGTATAATTATGTATTAATACGAATAATGAATTATACATCTTGGAGTGACTGAATTGGAAAGTACTATTAGATTTATAGAAATCGTGCAAGGATTTTGAAGAGAAAGAAGATTAAATATCACGGATAAAATCTATTAGGTGTACAAATGAATAATCCAAATTATTTTAAGCTGTTATAAAATTAATGCATTTGGTGGGATATCAAGGGCGTGCTTTACTATGAGTTGTTAGAACCAGGTGAAATAGTTACTGCAGATTGCTACAAGCGACAATTAATCTGCTTGAGTCAAGCATTGGAAAGAAAACGACCGTATACTGGCAAAGGAGAACGACCAGTGAAACTGTTGCACGACAACGCGAGGCCACACATTGCTTCCAATACAAAAGATGTCATAATGAGTCTTGGATGGGATGTTTTGCAGCACCCGGCATATTCACCGGACACTGCTCCGTCAGATTATCACCTATTCCGGTCGATGCAACACGCCTTATCTGATATGCACTTCCAATCAGTGGACGAGATCCGAAAATGCCTTGACGACTTCATCGCGTCTAAAGACGTAACATTCTTCCGAGATGGAATTCATCAGCTACCAGAAAGATGGCTTAAAGTTATAGAAAGAAATGGCGACTACTTTGATTGAACAATTCAATTTAGTAACTTTTAAAATAAACCTTGAATGAAGCAGAAAAATTGGATTATTCATTTGTATACCTAATATATGATGATATTTATATTTTTAACACCTGAATAGGTCATGATTCCTTCTTATATTCTTGAAAAGTTAACTTTAATCAAATCTCCAACCTAAAAGTGGTATGCCATAACTGCTATTTTACAGTATACTTATGTCAAGAAATCACATCAGACTTTCTATATGTATTTTAATACGTAGCACTCGATATGTATCTACTTAATAAAGAATGAGTTATTTATTATAATTGAGTATATATATTAACATACACGTTTTGAAGCTCTTTGTACTTGATTTTTTTCGATGGAACGAATCCCCGCTCGTTACCAAATGTATATTATAATCGCAAGTTTTCTGAATGCACGGTTTAAACGGTGTTTAGTTCCCATCAAGAGCCACTTAATCTTCGATCGCGTAAACTAACACAACAATGGGTCACGCGTGGCCACAAAAGGGATACACGTGATTGCGCCGACGAAACTTCATCGAGGAGTCACGTGGCGCCGGAAAAACGGACACAATATCCACACGAGCCGGTTGTTCTCTATCGAAAAACCTAACCGCAAACCCCGAAAGGATCCACGAGCACCGCCTACAAGAAAAACAACCCCGAGTCATGGGTTCCCACGTATATATTGTATACACGTAAACCAACTCCAACCCCCTCGACGAATTTTCGGTGTTACGTTTCGGATTACACGGTGTTTTGCTGTTGCCCGTTGCTTGCCTGGTACTCGATGTTTGTCGAGGAGTGTAATCGAATCGTTTTCGAAAGCTTTGCTAGTGACTTTAATGCTTTAGCGAATTTAAGTGCTCGAATGTTTCATGGAGTTCGAGTTTTGAAGCGAATCTTCTTATGATAGTACAAGGTTACTTTATGGAAACTACAATAAAACCGAACTAGAATGGTGCAAGTTTAGAAACTAAAATTTGTACGAACACTTTATATAAATTTAAATATTTCAAATATTTTTGTACAAACTTTGGATAAATATTTTTATACAAACTTATGGAAGAAGAATTACTAACATTCATAGATACCTTACACAGTATGATTTATTTAGATTGGATTCATTATATAAAAATAAATTAAAGACATACAATAACAGCTTGCGGGTTCATTTTCGGGAAAATTGAGTTAGATAATTTTTTGACGTATTTATACAAAAGGTGGTTTATGGTAAATAATAACTGTACCAATTAATGGATATTTTATATTAAAATATATTATTAGTTATCACACCGAATTATATAATAAAATATATTATTCTTCATAACACCGATAAAATACGTCTATGAAGTGTCATACGCCGATAAAAAGTATGATAATACAATGGATTAAATGTGACAAGTATCTAATACTTTATGTACGCAGGTAAATAAAAATGCAAATGATATTGAATTTTACAATTTAACAACTACATTTAGTAATTTATAAAAATCATTACTTAATCATTAGAGTGTAGAGAAAATAATTAAAAGCTTATTTCCTTCGTATAAATGTTAAAGATTAAGTTTAATTTTTCTGAAAATTAAGCTATAAAAAAATAATTGTTTTTCCGTATTTTCAATTTATTTTTTCATATGTTAGAGAATGTACCTGTTCCTAGTTGTTCTAAGGTTTTTTACAAAACGATTAGTAACGAATAACAAATGCAATATAACTGATTATTTGATTAACTACCGATATCATTTCATAATATACAAAAACTAATACAAAATTTTAAAAAAATTCTCGTTGAAAAATATAAAATATTTCAAAATCATACTTCACAGTCACTTACTAACTACGGAACATATGCAAATAATAAATTTTCATACATGCATATATTGCGTTTCAATATTTAAACAAACTGTCACTTTACTATTCGATTAAAGTATTTTTGTAAATAAATATACTTATAATATATATTATCTATATAGTTATATTATTAAATAAACATAAATAAATACTTTAATTATTATAATAAGCATACTTATATATATACTTGTAATAATAAGTATTATATTTCACTCATGATCAAAAATTTTTCAAATAATATTTCGGCAAATTTCTTATTAGACTAGATATTATTGTTGCAATGCAATTAGTCACGTAGTAAGGACGAAATTTTCCTTTGAGTCTTATATTTGAAGAAAATAACACAACTCAAGTTTGCAATTACATGCTCAGTCAGTTCAAAATGAGAAGTGAAATGGAAGTCAAACGATCATTTATCGAAAAGCTAGTGAACCTCATAGAAATGAAACCATGTCCGCATTTTTGATTGATTATCGTCGTATTGGCCTAAATCGAAGAGAAAACAGTGAGAGATCATTTGATTAGAACAAAACAGTAGTAAGCTCAGGTGATAGAATTTAAGCCTGTGTGTACGATGAAGAATTGTCATAATAAAGAATATTAGCTCAAATTAATCCTCCAGAAATTTTTAATTTTTTTTAAAATAAATAATTTGAAACTGAAAACGCAGAAAGGGACCTTAAGTAATCAGTAATATAACGAGAGTTAACTGGAGTATTAAATTCAAAATTTAATGTTATTATAAGTTTA